TTCAGAGTATGCAAGGGCTTCAGGTGAAAACTCAGTGTCCTTCCCACCTCTGACCTCCAAGGCCCCCCGCCCCCCCACCCCGCCCCACGGCAGAGATAAACCAGTTTCTCACGCATCAACAATCTTCACGTACATTGAATGTTTTTACAAGAGGCCGCTCAGTGCTCATGAGATCCCGCTTGGACAGTGCGCCGACAGAGCCGGGACTCATTCGTTTTAATGGCGGTACCATATTTTATTAGTACTATCATTTATTTATTCTATTTTCTGTTGGTTGAGATTTAGGTTATTTCTAGGCTTTCGTAACAAGCGATGTTAGGTTGACTGTCCTTGTACAAGCGTCTTTGGAGCTAAGTATGGATATTTCCGGCTGAATTCCTTAGTGTGAAAGGGCTGGGTCAAAAGGCTTTCTAGAGCTCCCTAACTCCTACGTGATCTCTTGGGGGGGGGTACAAAACTTCCCCCTCTCAACAAAGGAGAGGGCTAGTGTCCCCACTGCTTGATCCTGCAGAGCTGGCAGGTGTAAAATAGTTTTATCATAGCTTTATGTTTCCTAGACATATAATAGATCCTAGTGCTTTTTCAGATTTGTTTTTTATGTTGATTTCTACCATTAATACAGTCATTTTGAAACTCGAAAGATCAGTGTTTAATATAAACATGTACCAATTGAAAAGCTGTATTTCATGTTCTTTGTCCATTTTTCTATTGGGTTGTTCGTACTGGTGTTTTCCAGAGCACTTTACATATTAAGGTTTAGCCCATCATCTATTAGAAGTGTTTTTCTCCAATCTTGTCATTTGTCTTTGACTTATCTTTCGAGAACATTTATTTCTCTCTCTTTGCCAGGCATTTAAAGTCATCGTTAGTGTTTTTTCATGTGTGGCTTCTGCATTTTGTGTCTTCTGTACTCTAAGGTTATATAACATTTGATATTTTCTTCTGGGAATGTAACATTTTATATTTAAGTTTTTGGTCTAATTCTAGAAAGTACTCCTGGGAATGACAATTAGGAACCCGAACTGCTTTTTTCCCAAATCGTTCGTCCCAACTCCATTTCCCGGAAAAGCCATCATGCCCACCGGAGTGCCGTCGCTGGCATCCCAAGCTGTGGCCTGCGTGCGGGTTGTTCCAGGCTGTCATCACCAGCCCGGCCCGTCCTCAGGCCTGCCTTTTCCTGGCCAGCCATGGGCCAGCTTGTCCACTTCCCTGACCCCGACCTTTTTTGGAGAAAGTGGGATTGCTTAGATCTGTAGATTAAGGTGACAGAAAATTGCCATCCTATAACTGACAGTTGATGCCTGGCATCTGTTCCACGCATTCTGGTTCCACAAGACACTTGTGACAGATCCTGCAAATCCAAGGTGGTGTGCGCCCCACCCCACTTCACCCGGGCACATGCTGTCCTCAGGGCAGCGGCTTTTCTCAAGCGAGAACAGCGCCCTTCCTTCGGCACACACACCCTGCTGTTCCCTCAGCCGGCCCATTGCACATAGGGGACAAACTGAGGCTGGCCCCTGTGGGCCAGGCGCCTCTAGCTGACCTGGCCCATGCTTGTCTGCGAGGACTCGCCTCCCTCCATGTGGGATGCCTGTGATGGGCTGCCTTGGGCCGCTTCTGTGGGCCCAGGGAACCACAGGGCAGGATGGGGGAAGCCAGTAGTACATTCCAGCATGCGCCCCCCTTCCCTTCCACTTGGTACGGCCCATGGGCCAGGCCGCCTGGGAGAAAGACCAACTTTCGGTTCTCCATTTTGTGAGTTTTCTCGGACATGTGTGTTCACAGGCAGCAGTGTTCTCTTGCCCAGCAGGTGCCTGAGCATGCCCCCGCTCCAGGCAGGTGGCCCCCCAGAATCTCCAGTCGTGGCCTGGCGCACCTCGGACGTGGGCCCCTGCCAGGCTCCGATCTGAGATGAGGCCTCCAATGAGAGCCAACCCTTGGCTCGAGTGCCCCGATCTAAGATGTGGGCACTCTCCAGGATAGCATCTGTGTATCTGATTCATGGTTGGAGTGCAGGGACCACACGTTGTCTGTGGGATCACCCAGAGGGGGTGCCTACCCAGAATCACAGCCCCCGCCGCTGTGCATTTCAGAGCGCCTGCCATGTGCCGCATCGACCTTCACAGCAACCCTGGCCCCTGGGGTCGCCATCTCACTGCGCCCACTGACAGAGGAGACGGCTCAGACCTCGGGCTCCTTGGTGCTCACGCTCTCGGGCCACCACAGGCGTGCCCTGCTGGCAGACCGTGGCCACATGTGCGTCCACAGCAGGTGATGCTCGGAGGGGTTGGGGCCAGGCCAAGGTCTTGCTGGGAAGAGTTAAGCTGGGTGTTGTCTGAAGCTCAGTGCTCCCAGCAGAGGCCCCCAACCTGCTTGCACTTTGAGTCTGCGACCCGTGTGGGAGGGAGAGGTGTCCTGAGGGCACCTGCCTCAGGCCAGGTTAGCCACAGCAGGGCCTGTGACACGTGGCCTGAGGCCAGGCAGCTGAACCCCCATCGAGCCTCTGTAAGCTGCTGCTTTCAGCTGGGGCCCGGGCCAACCGAGGACTGAGGGCAAGCAAGAGCTCTGGGGGTCCCCCCGGGAAAGGAAGCCAGTGAACACGGTGGGGCCGGGTCTGCCCCTCCCGCTACCTGGTGGAGAAGGAATGCAGGCCCTGGCTCTGTCCCCAGCAGCTCCGGGCAGGGGGCTGCCGTGTCCTGAGCGGCAAGACCAGCAGTGGACTCGTCTTCCAAGTGGAGGATGACAGCCACATGCCCTCCATCTGGCTAGGCTGGCCTGGGGCCCACTGTGCCTGGCCACGTCCCTTGTCCCACCCTGGGCTCTCGGCCCATGTGTGAGGACCCCTGGACCGTGACGAGTCGTCTCACGCAGTTGCAAATCAACAGGGCACCCTGGGGAGAACGCCGACTGCGTTAACCTCTGAAATGCCCCATCTTCGCAGTCCAGTGTCCTGCTGGCACGCTGGGTGGCAGCTTTGTATTCTTCCCAGAGCAGCGAGCAGGACCCACCGAGGGGTCAGGGTGGCACCTGCCAATGTCCGATGCCAGGCAGGTGGCGGAATCCTAGGAGATGGCTCCCTGCCCCCCTAACCCCTGTGCCCCCTTTCGCTCTTCCCAAGGCCCCTGGTCCCTGCAGGGCCCCCCAGAGGTAACCAGCGTGGACAGGCTGCAGAGAGGTGGAAACGCAGAGGTCACAGCGTGAACTGGGCACACGCCGCCTTGGGAGCTGGAGCTGGCTCCTCCCACCTGACCTCGTGTCCTCGGTCCCCACAGCATGCCTGCCATAACCATAACCCACTCTGAGTTCCCTCCTTTTCCCCATTACAGACAGGTCAACTATACTCACTTGCTTCCTTGTGACTACTCCGGGACACAGGATCCGCTGCTGCGGTAAGCTGCCCGCAAAGCAGCGAGGCCGTGGCCGTTTCTGCTGAATGACTGCACGTTAACGCTTCACGTTTGCTTCAGAGTTTCCATCTTGCAGTCGTTGGGGGTTGACAGCAAAGTCGCAAAGGCAGCCCAGTGCGTCGCGGTCTCCCCTTTACCAGCACGCCTCACGGAAACATGGTGCCCCGCAGAGACGTTAGCTGGGTGCGTTCCCACCAGCCACCCCCAGACTGTACTCCAGGCTCGTCAGCTCTCCACGGATGGCCTTTTCTGTCCCCGGGTCCAACCCAGGCCCCCATGTGGCGTTCAGTCATCACGTCTCCCTACTTTCTCAGCCTAGTCTTGTTTTTCGTGACTTTATTTGGGGGACGCTGTGTGACCTGTCCACTAACCTGGCCTGTTTTCTCAGGAATAGACTGGGGTCATGGGTTTTGGGGTAGACCAGACCATGGTGAGGTGCCCGTTTTGTTCCCTCCCATCTGGGGTCCCACACATGTACACAACATCGCCCCGAGGTTGACCTTGACCTTGAGTGAGACGGGGTCTGCAGGGTGTCCCCGCACCTGGTTTCTGTCCTTCCCTTTCCCTTCCCTGTTCTCTGGAAGTGAGTTGCTGAGTCTCACCCACGCAAAAAGGGGTTTATTTAGAAAATAATTTTCCATCTAGAGAAGTATAAAAAAGGACACATGGCCCATAATCGCACTACCTAGATACCTGTTGACATTTAAAGAAAATGAGAGTAAAAATACACATGGGTAAAAAAAAGGCTTGTACAAAAAGTACTATTAAAACCGTCAGAAACTAAAGGCTTCACTGTCTTAAAAGATCTGGCCCTTCCAGCGTGTCCGCGCACACACCCCCCGGAGCCCTGACGCTGACCTTCCCTGTGGGCACATGGGCCCTGGGGTGCACCTCCACCTCTATACCTGGCTGCATCTGCTCCCCACCTCGGCTTCCCTGGGCCCTGTGGCCAGGTGACAGCCCCTCCTGAGCTCCCTGGTGGCGCTGCTGGTGAAGGTAGAGACAGGCCCCCATTTGTAAGTGAGGAAATGGGGGTCTGGAGAAAGGACAGATGTGGGGTGGGTGCCCAGGCGGCCCAAGCCCGGCCACCTGCACCTATGCTTTCCCCAGACCTGTGCCGCCTCGGCTCTTCCCAGGCAGGCCGCTCAGTCCCCTCCTGGCCTGTTAAATGGGGGTGACAACTCCTGAAGGGCTGCCGTGAGAATAGAGTGACTAGGCACAGGGTCGAGCTGAGCATGGGGTCAGGGAGGGGCGCTGGGGTCGTCGGGTTCTGAGGGTTCTGTTTGTGGTCGCCCAGGCGTCCCTGGGGCCTGGGTGTGGATGTGGCTGCCGCATCGGGGCTCCTGCCTGCAGAATGGCCAGCTCGCCGTGCACAGAGACCCCGATTATTGCCGGGAGTGGTGCACACCTGAAGCCCCGAGAGAATGTCTCGTCCAGGGCGACTGGTCCTGCCCCGCACAGCCAGGATGGCAGCCCAACCCCTGCTTTGCCAGAGCTCACGCTCCTGCCTGTGGGAACAGGGCGCCTACTGGGGGCTTGTGTGCTTCAGGCCCCTGGGGGAGAGGCTACTTCCTCCACCAGCAGGTCTGTGCCCACTGCCCTCTGCCACTCCCCGCCTCCCCCTAGACTGTGAGCCCCTCGCGGGCGGCGGCCATTGGGGGCTTGCTCTGGCCCATCCCACAGGGGTGGGCGGAGTGCAGGGTCTTTGCCGGCGAGCCTTGGGGTCAGCCGGCCCACAAGATGCTTCCTGCCTCTCCTGGATGTGGATGTGGACAGGCTGGGCTATGGGGGCTGGGCAGCACCTGAGGGCTGCTGAGGTGGGCGGTGGGGGCCGCCCAGGTAATCCACCTCCTAGAGGAAGCCCAGGCCAGGCCGGCAAGAATGCTGACAGCCAGCGCTCGGAGTGCCCACGTGGACGGTGGCAGTCCCAAATGTGTCTCTGAGCCCGGGAGCCAGGGAGTGGGCTCCTGTGTCAAAGGGAGCCTGAAGTCAACACTTCGTGCCCCTCCCTCCGTCGGGCCGCCAGAGGGGGCTGGCTCAAGCTGGCCTTAACAAGAACAGTAGGGTCTAGTGGAGGAGGCGGGTATCCAGGGGACAGTGGCTAGCCTGGGGGCAGAGGAGCAGAGCCAGGTCAGGTCAGTTGGGGGTTGCAGGTGAAGAGAGTAAGGATACAGCCTCGGATAGGGCCGGGAACAGGGTCCCAGCCTCTGTCCATATGCGACTCAGAGGGAATCACCAAGCAAGCAGGCACTGGAAACTGGAACCCAGGCAAGGGGGCCGTCAGATCCAGGCAGGTCCGCCCCCTGGAGGCCGCTGGGGCCACTGTACGGCCTCTACCGCCAGCATCGGAAGGGGCGGGGGCGTGGTCGCAACGGAGGGGGCCATGTTGTTGCCCACTTCCGAGCAACCGCCACTTTTGGCCTGCGTGTTTGGCGAGCTCGGCCATCTACATCCCCGGCGTCCTTGCCGTTATTAAACAACTTGGCCTGGATGCGTTCGAGGGTTTGGAATGACCCCACTTTTATCGTCCAAGCCTTAAGGATCCCTGCCCAGCGCCGGGAAGCGATGTCACTGACCCACGTGTCCTAGCAGGGCCGGGACGCTCTGCCGCGCCAAAACGCCCGGAGCCCAGCCCTTTGCGACCCCGTGGGTTCCTCTTCGTGATCCCCCTGCTATGGCCCTCCCCGAGCGGACATCGGTCCTCCCCAAACCTAGTGAGGCGCACACGAGTGACTCCCGAATGGGCCGCAAAAAGAGGAACGAACGCAGCTCGTTAGACCCGGGAGGCGGGGCGCCTCACCGCGCCCGCTGCCTAGGCAGGGGAGGCCCCGCGGGGCTCTGGGAGCGGTGGAGGGGACTCCCGTGGAAGGGATCGAAGGGATGCAGATGCGCACGGTCAAGCAGGGCCCTAGGCCGGGGAGAAGAGGGGGAAGGGTCGCGCACGTGGCCGGGGGGCGGAGTTGGCCGCCTCCGCACCCCCACCCGGCCACGTGGGGTGCTGCGCCCTCCCTCATCGCTAGCGGGGGCGCGCCGGGGCCCGGGTGGAAGAGTCCGGGAAAGAGGCGGGCTCTCGATGGCCGCGCGCCCCGGCTTGGGGTGGGCACGCGCGGAGAAGGGAGGGGTGCGCCGGGAGGGGCGGGGTCATCCGGAGAGGGAGGGGCGTGACGAGAGGGGCGGGGCGCGCTCCGGAGAAGGAGGGCCGTTCCGGAGGGGGCGGAGCTCCCCAGCACGGGGAGGGGGCGCTCTGGGAAGGGGCCTTGGGGCAGCGCCGCAGAAGGTGCGCGCCGGGAAGGGCAGGCTCCCGGCCCCGCTTTGGGAAGGCGTATCAAGACAGGCAACGGGGTCGCGCTCCGGAGCAGGAGGGGGCGCG